TAAGGCAGAAATTAGAAGATTCCTATGTTTTGGGGCTTCCAGATTTAATGCAGTGTGACTGAAAAATTGATATGAAACATTCAACAGAGACCTGCCAGTGCTGAGTAGTTCGACCTTCGACCTATTTACTTTGGGGGGCAATGTTACTGGTGCTCCTACTAAGGCTTGAATCTCAGCCTCCAGCTGTGTCATTTCCCTCTTCATTTTCAGGAGCACCTGGGAGAGGTTCTGGCCTTCTGTGTTTTCTGTGAGGGGTTTTTTTTTCAGAGGGCCATCTGTCTCGCCTGATAACCACAGCATAACAATCATGGGAGGGAAGAATACTCCTTAATAGAAGTCTAATTCCCTGTGAGTGCGACTGTGAGTAGCCACTAATCTGTCTGATTCTTCTCGAAATTTGGTAGGATCTTCTGAAAGCAGAGGTAGAAGAGCTTTATAATTTATAAGATCTGCTACTGTCCAGGGGACATGAAGGACATTGCATAGGAACACCTGAAGCCAGCAGAGCTTGATTACAAAGCCCTGGAAAGCAGGGATTATAAGGGACAGCAAAGCCAGGCCTGTGGCCCTTCCCCAGTGCTTTTGCTGAATTCACTTCCTGGCATTCCGTATTTACGTAAGTAACGTGTCTTCCCCAGGCCCAGAGATCAGGCTGGAGAGCTTGCTGCAGATCTTGTAAAGAAGGGAAAATTAAAACAAGCAGCTGGTTGTTTAACAGTTTTTCTGGGGAAGTTGGAGTTTTAGGATTTAAGGATATTGGCTGGGGAGATGGGGCTGGGTTTTGACAGGGGGCTTTAGACCGGAGGCCCAAGAACCAAAAAGATCTTCTGGGTCAGGGCCAGGGAGTTGGGGATAAAGGGAGTATAAATCAGGGATTCACATCAGATTTGGTTTTTAATTTTTGTTCTAAGTCTGACTTCTATTCTTCTACTTTATTAAGGGAGTTACTTTTTAGTGTGTGCTTTTTTTTAAATTTGGCCTTCCCGTAAATGCCAATAAGGCAGATGCTTAGAAAGAGAGTTCCCTACAAAATTTTTCAAATATAGAAGGATTTCCAATTCAAAAGATCCATTGTCTGACAGATGAGTAAGAACTCTATTAGCATGTTTATTCCAATAGCAATTCCATCAGTAAGCCTGTTTATGGAAATGCTGGAAGGAACTTCCCAGGCTTAGTACCATGGATGCAAGAAGCGTCCTTAGAACAAGTGTAGATGGTGCAGCACCCGTGATCCAAAAAGTTAATTCCCAAAAATAGTCTAAGAGAACAATGGCCTTCATTACACAAGTGAAGAGTGGCGTAGTGAACACTGTGTCTCCCGTCTCCCATGGGAACTTGGGACACCGCCAGTCACAGACCCACTGATCTGAGACACTGGGCAGGTGCTCCTAGGATGGGGCTTTTCCAGCACTAACCAGCAACGGAGGTTGGGACAACAAAGGACCCTTAGGGACTGGGATCTGTTGTGACAAATTCCCCTGAGAGCTAGCACAGCCAGACAAAGAGCATGTCTTGCAACCCCAGTCTATTTGACTGGCCACAGGTGTACCCCAGTAAGTGCACTCCCTGGATGGAAGAGGTCAGAGAACTATTCTCACTGGTCATAAAGTTAGACTCCCCAGACTTAGCAAGACAAAAGGAGAAATGTCATCCGATTTTTCTTACATGCACATTAATAGCTTTAGAGATTCATCCTTCTGAGCCAAACCAATACCTGGGAGGGATATGCTCAGGGCTGGGGATTGTGTTGTTCAGTGTCCCCAACTGCACCAAGTTGAGGTAGGCAGGTAACCTGGTGTTAATCTAACAGGTCCTATGACCAACTTATCGGAACTCAGGGATCTTTGGGTTAGGGGGCGAGTGCTCCAACAGCCCATAAGCCTTCACACCCTGCCCACCAATTTTGTGGCTTTGGCTTCCAAGATGTCCCTTGCAACAGCCTTTACCTCGTGTGCACATTAACCCAGAGCAAAGTTTGTCTGAACAGACACTGGTCTGATGAGAACCATGAACTCCCGATTTGTGAGGCTGGCTGGCACAGTAGGCATATAGGGCTGATGCCTGAGTTCTGTCCTGTGATTTTTTTTCTCCTTACAACAAATGATCCAAAAGACAAAAATAAATAATAAAACACAATGATGATTTCTGGAAGGAAATGGGTCAGCAATACCAAGAATACTCTACCTCATTTACCAGAGTCTCTAAGCCCCAATGAACTAGTGCCACAAATATTTTCTCCTGCCAATCTAAATTTAGAGAGGAAATGGACTCACACCTCTCACTCCACTGGATCCTGCAGACAGAGATTCAGGGATGCTGGCATGGTAAGAATGCTTACCTTTTGCTGGCTTTTGTCAGATGTCCCAGGATCTCTGAGCTGCAGCAGCCATTGAGTAAGCAGTGTCCAGACAGGGAAGTTTATACTACCAGCTATGCCAGCAGTTAGGAAGGAAAGTTTTTCCTCCACCCTTCAAGGTTCTTCTGGCTGGTCTAGGAATTAAACGGACATGAGACAGGTTAACTGAGAAAAATTAATTACATAGTCTGGGGAATCCACAAACGTGAGAGAATCCAAAGATGGGCAAAGGAGGTACATATGTTATTCTGGACTAAGGAGAAGGGGGAAGGAGTCTGGGGCTTCAGAGGGAAAGAAGGCAATTCACAGAAAGATGAAGAAGAGTAAATGTTTAGCAAACAAATGTTTGTTTGGCCATCCAGAAACAATGGGACCCAGAGAGGACTTTGTTCATACAGGCCTTGTTAAGTTCCTTCCTGTCTACCATGCCTCATTCACATTGTAATGTAGTTATGGTGATGACTCCCTTCCTGTAACAGTTCCTTCATAAAAGATTTTTAGATTTTTAGGCAGTTGGTGGAGATAGAAGGAGGTCCAAGTTTCCACCTGAATCTTTTGGGCCTTGATTGTTTTCAGCTCAAAGTAATTCTCAGGCCAAAGTGGCACATCTTGGGGTGACTTGTTGTGAACCCTAAAAAGGGAAAACCCAGGGTCCAATTCTTCTCAGCTCCCAGGCCAACAGTAATAGTCATAATATGTAAACCCCTCCATTTCTTCACACCATACTTGAGAGTGTGCAGACCATTAGGCCCATTCAAGTGATGCAATTCTCAGGGCTTCTGACAGGACTGACTCAGCATCAGGAGGCCCTTTCTCAGAGCCACAGTGGGGTCCAGGCAGGGGCCAGGACCCACCCTCAAACTCCCTAATCATGGGCTAGCATTCCTTGCTGTATACTTCTCTACACTCCATTTTCTTGGTCATCTGCCACAGCCAGCAGAGATAACATCCTGCCTGGCACGGGTGCAGAGCCACCTGCCTTGGAGCCACCAGAGGTCTGGGAAAGGCTGAGGTCCCGCACCAGCGGGACAGGGACTGAGCCAACAGGCAGGCCCCGGAGGCACTTACATATGGGTGTGACTCTCCTGGTTGCATAGACTTGGGTTAGCCTGTTTCTCCCCCTGTAGATGGCACTAATAATAGTACCCATGTCATAAGATTGCTATGAAGATGAAAAAATTAATATAGGTGATGTGTTTTTACCTGCCCAGAGTGAGCACTCAATTGGTGGCAGTTCTTATTTCCATCTTTATTGTGGCTGACTGATTCACTTATTCAGAAATTCTTGTGTTCCTGCCGTGTTCAAGCCCTATGCTGAGTTCTGAGGTGATGTGAATAATATGCAGTGTGTACCTTCAAAGAGCTCAGTCTAGGGATGGGGGCAAGCAGATCATTCCAGTGCACTGAGAGGCACGTGGTAACAGAGGTCCTAAATGCACAAAGTGCTGTGGGAGCCCAGAGGACAGAGAGAGGACTTTGATTCCTCTTCCCCAGGCCCCTGCCCACCAGCCTCACCCTTCTCAGGACCCAGCCTTCCCACCGTCTCCCTAAGGACCCCATCTTGTCATCATGGTGCTAGGTCTTCATTCCCACTCCATCTCTGGGCAAAGCCTTGAGAAATTTCTGCTCTGTCATGAATCCTTGAGGCATTTAAAAAAAAAATTCCTTTGTCAAATACAGGAAACCTTGGTACTTGCAAATATTCATAATAGAATCTTTCGACAAATACATCCTCTTAAAACAAGTAAGCAAACACAAAGGTAGAATGTCAGCATATCCCCCACCCACTCTGTTCCCTTTTCTTAACCAGTGTAGAACCTGAGCCCAGAAGGGACCATGACTTACCCCCAACTCTTAGACAGAGCATGTGGCAGAACCAGGGTGAAAGCATGTCACCACTACACATTCACTGACTGCCCCCATTGCATCATGAGAGAGAACAGCAGCCCCCCACCCCAATCTGGAATCAAACTGACATTCGATTCCAGTTCATGTCTGGATTTAATCCATTATAGTCCACATAAATGCCTTTCCACTTGCCCTACCTCATTTGGTTATTCCCACCACTTGGTGAGTTGAGATGGGTGGGCATGATCAGCCCTAGTCACAAATGAGGCTTCCAAGGCTTCGAGGTTCAGTGATGATCCGGGGCCCTGCCAGCGATTGGAAACTAGCCCTTCCAACTCTAAGTCAAATGTGCTTTCTGCCATATGGCCACCCTGAGCAAGCAGGCTGTGATGAGCATCTCATACCCTTTGTGCAAGTGGAACACACCAGCACCGTGTATAGTGAGAGAAGGCTGAGCAATCTTCAGCTTCTGGTTCCACAGAGACATTTCTTTGACCCACCACCCCCACCAAGAGGACTACTCAGCACCAGCCCCGGACAAGATACTTCGAGATAATCATGACATCATTTTCTGAACCCTCCGGTCCAGGAAGTTGTTCATCTTTGAAAAAAAATCCTAAAAGCGAATTCTTTGCATCTCTCTATTATCTCTGCTCTTCTCCCTGAGCTGGTCTTGCACAAGCAGTATGACCTTCCATTGGGTGACAAGTATGTCGTAAGTGAAACGTTTACAGGCACTGCAGGATTGATCTGGTGCCTCGCCCACTTCATTACAATTCTAATTGGGGTGTGTAGGAGAGGCTTCTATAAATGGTCAGGCAATCCCTGGCCTGTCTCCCGACACGGTCCGTGCCCTTCCCAGACGAGACCAGAGAAGAGGCAAAGGAAGGTGAAACATGAGTGGTGAGTGCCTGGCATGTTCCCTACAGGTCCTTTGTAGGAGACCCAGCTCTTCCTGGGCCAGCCTGGGAGGCCAGAGTGTCCAGCTCAGGACAGCTTCCTTGGGACCTCTGAAGGCTGGATCTTAGTATCTTAGGGTTCTATTCAGAGGTGACTCTTTCTCGGGGGCTGCCCGGTCTCTCTAACATGCTTCCAGGGGGAGAATATGTTTAGAATGTAGTCCTAAGTAGTGGGCAGGGTATGCAATGCAGCCGGAGGTCACATTCCTTAGAGAGATGGAGAAGCCTTGCCTTTTCAGACCAGCTGGTACCTGCTTCCTTGTTTCTCAATGCAAGTTTACTAGGCTGCCAGTAACCTAGGTGAAGAGAAGCACACATCCAGGGCTAGCAACGGCGTGTATGTTTATTTAGGAGAAATCATTAGTGGTGCTGGAATGCTCCCAGGTAAACTATACATCCGGAAGCACCAGCAGGCACTTTGAAAGTGACCTGCTGAGCTGAAACCTCCCAGTAGCAGGAGCAGGTGTGCAATAAGACGGTCCCCCAAGCAGCACCAGGACAGGGGGGTGAAAAGAGTGACAAGAAGCACTCATTCTTTAGCTCCGCACTCACTGTGGGGGATTCGGGCTCCTCTTAGTGCCCCTGCCAGGAAGCATGCTAATTATTGCCTACCCTCACCTCTCAGCCTGGTGGGTTGACAGCGACGCCAAATCCAAACAAGGCATGAGTCAAACCTGTAAAATATTGTGAATCATGGTTAGGACCACAGGAAGTATTTGCCAGAGAAACTGCTGAGCATGATGATGCAAAAGGCGAATGCTGGCTACTTCAGAAACCCCCAAGACCAGGATAGGGTGGCTGCAGAAATGGAGCCCTCCCCTGTCCCCCATTTCCTCCTGTGAACATGCAGCATTGCTGGTTGGCTAAGAAAAGGAGCTTGGAATCCTGTAGACTTTAGCAAGAGGGGATGTCAGCTGTCCCCTGGGCCATCTCCCTCCCTCCAAAAGGAGGAAGAGGCCCAGGAAGGGGTAGAGACTTAACAAAGGTCCCACAGAAAGTTAGTAGCAGAGTCCAGACTAAGTCCCAGCAATGCCCTTCCCACTGTGTCCTGCTACCAGAGCTGAGCTCACAGACAAGTGAGTGTGACGTCGGCAACACGGGAACGCAATACTGGAAACTGCTTTCCCATTTGAACTCTGTGACCTACAGCTGATGTGTTCCCTGCCACCACTAAGCCTCAGGGTCCACTCTGAGAGGTGAAGGACTTGAAATAGATGGACTTTCAGGCTCCTTCCAGCCCTTGCCATGAGAGGAAACCAGGGAGAAAGGGAGATGCTCACACAGACACACACACATGCACTAGGGTTTGCCGGGGAGGTGGGGGCGCCTGTACATGTACTCTGCTGGCCCTCCAGGGGGCCGTGAATAGCCTGCTTGCTGTGAGCCCTGCGTGACATCTTGAAGGGCCCAATATGCCAGTGTCTGTGTCTCCTGGAGCCATCGAGCTCTTAGAGCTCAACACCTAAATCACACCAGAGTGTGGGCAATGGCTGGCTAGGAGGAAGTCAATTTTTAAAACAGCAGGGGAAAGACAGTGAGTGCCTTTGCTCCCTTCAACCTGTCACACATGCATTTCCTACCCCAGCAACTAGTCCCTCGGTCCGCCAGTGCTCTGTAAAAGTTTCCTGAATGAGTGAATTCACTTACTGGACATCTACAGAAAGGAGCCACGGAAGGTGCCATGGGGGCATGGAGCTAAATGAGCTTTGATTCTTGCCCTTGGTGAGCACACAGCCCACATCACAAATCCAAACCAAGGGCCATGGGGCCAAGAGGACAAGAAAACTAATCTTGGCTGGTGTTTGGGACAGGGGAGACCCTGGGATAGATGGCATTTGGTCATGGACGAGGAGTTAGGCCTCGTCAGGAGTCATTTTGTTGGGTGAGGAGTGTTCTGGGCAGAGGAGATGGGAAAACAAATGTGGCTGGGTCAGCAGCAGGTGTGACCCAGGGGACTATCAGGGGCACAGGTGTGCTGGTTTGAGATGACTCTGTCCAGTTCCTAATTTAAAGCTCTTGTTGGAATCCCCGCCTCCTGGTGGAGAGGCCCATGGGTTGTGTGTGGGGAGGACGGTGGTGTTCTGAACAAAACGGTGTGGCGTGCTTTGCCTGCCGCCCGCTGAGGCCAAAGCCCCCAAGCCGCCAGGAGTGCCTGCTGTGAACAGAGATGTGGGCCCACTGCGGAGGGGAAGCCTTGTTCCACATCCCCAAAGCCACTCAGTGGCCCTGGGTCAGAGGCCCTGTCTCAGGGCAGACACTGGCGGAGGCCAGAACCTCTGTCCCGGGACCCACTCTGTCCCACTGGGGCACTGAGCCCTGGCCATGGCTTCAGGGACTTACCTTGCCTGGCCCCATTCCCCAATCTACAGAGGTCTATGCCATCTGGGATGTGCATCTACCGCCAAACCTTTCTCCTTAGAGCTGGGAAATAACCAGTGGTTATTTCTGCTATGGAAGCAATCCGGAATCCCGCCTGGGTTCCTGCCTCCTTCTCCTCCGTAAATCTTCTAGGAGAATCCTGGGTTCTCCTCCCACTGGGCGATGGCTTCGTGTTTCAGTCATCTGGACCAGAGCAACACCCAGGCTCTCTCTGAAAGCAGCGGCCCCTGTGGGCTCACACTCTGGGCTCCAGCCACCCCTGGTGTGCGATGAGGCGGACCTGCCTCTTCTCTGCCCCAGCCCCGCCCACGTCCGCCCCGCCCGCCCGGGGCAGCGCTGCCCCCTGCTCCTCCCACGGACCTGCCAGCTGCCGCATCCCCCTGGAAGGAGGGCTGCCCAGGCTTCAACTCTCCGTTACCCAGAGTATATACAGAGGCAGAATAGCCAGAGGCTTACGAGGACACAGAGATGCCCTCCGATCGCGTCTCGGCTCCGTCCCCGCTGAGTGAGACAGGTCACGTGACCTGTGTGCCGCGGCTTCCTCATCTCTAAAACGGGCTTATTGCAGATCCACCTCTTAGGTGCTCAGTCCACGTAACTTATCATTACTTGGGAACTTTTTTCATGAGTCTGTTTTCTCCTTGCCTTGGGGTCTGAAGAAAAGCCCTGTGAGGTGAATCCATTTTCTAATCAAGGGCGATTCCCAGGGGAAACCCTGCCACTGAAATCCTTGCTGCCCCCTCACTAGCCCCGCTCACACGTTTCGGAGTCCCTAGTCCCCGTGTCTGGGTGCTGCTCTTGGTCACACAGCTTAGTTCTGCCTCCACCCTGCCGGGCTGTGCGCCACACCTGGGCCCTCTGCCTCCTCCCCAGGGCCCACATGCCGGCCTGGGTGTGGACTGGAGGCAGGAAGTTCTTCTCCCTGTCGCTTAGGAGTGGAGGGAATGCGGCCCAGGTTCTCCCGTAGGGATGGGGGTATTTCTTCCGAGGGGTTCTGCATTCCCCACTCCTAGCCTTATTCTCCTCCTGTGGGAAAACGGGAGCAGTGATCTCCCCTTGCCTCCTCCTCGTTCGGCTGTGTGGCTCAGGTGAGACAATTCATGTGAAAGACTTGGTAAGTGTGAAATGACCTATAGGTCTAAGGTAACGATTCCCAGTCCTGACTGCACATTAGAACCACCAGGAGAGTTAAAATAAAAAATAAACTATTGTCTCCAACCCAGAGATTCTAATCTAATTAGTCTAGGGTGGAGCTGAGGCCAATACAACACTCTCTAGGTGATTTCATGAACAGCAAGGCTGGAGAACCACTGGTCTAAGATAGTCTGACCTCCCTTTGCAAGCGACAGGAGCTGAGGAGTGTGTCTTCCTTCCCTTCCTCTCCCCGACCATGTAATGTTGAGGCAGGGAGTAGGCTGTGGGTGGGCAGCTTCCTGGCACCATGCCCTAGTCCTTGCCACCAACACCACCACGGTTAGCAGGCTGGCAGTTGGAGTCACATGTGATCAGGCAAAACTGGCTTCTAGTCCAGGCTTCGGTCCAGGCTCTGTGATATTTGGCAAGTGACGTCACCTAACTGGACTTTCAAATCCCTCATCTGTGAAATGAGAATAACAAATCAGGGTTTCTGTAACTACTAAAGGACATAGTGCAGGTAAAATGCTTAGCACAGTGCCTGGCACGTCTTAGGTCCTCAACGGCAGCCCATAGAAAAATCCCCCACCCTCCTCTATCCCGTACTGCTGGTGCCATTGTGTGTGGGATCCCAGGGCATTTGTCCCCCTCTGCTTCTGGGGGCCCAGATGCTGGTGATGGATACATGTTAGATCCAATAATAACCCCACAAGGGAGGGTGTTCATGTCTTAGTGTTTCTTCTACAGATGGGAAAGTACAGTCCAGGGCATTGCCCCAGGGCTCTCAGCCTTTCAGACCACATGTCCAGTGCTCATTCCACCCCATCCCAGGAAGCCTCATCAGGCCCTTGCTCAGCTGCCAACAGGACCCCCCATCTTCCCCACCACATAAGTGCCAAAAACTGTACGCCACTCCTGCAGCACAAGGATTGAGAATGTCTGAATGTAGGGGAAAGATAAAGGGAAATGGCACAGGCTAGAGAGGGAAAGCTCAGAGGAAGGCACCTGGGTTCCCAGAGCCAGTGCAGGCCAGGCTAGGAGCTGGAGCGGTCCCAGGTGCCCAGAAGGGAGTGGTGGGGAGAGAGGGTGGTGTTAGGAATGACTCACAGTCCCTTGGTGACCAGGATCTAAGACCTAGTTTCTGGGCCAAGCTCTGCTTCTACACTATTCTGTAACTTCAGCATATGGCTTCCTCTTTCTGGGCCCATTTTCTTACCTATAATATGGAATATTGGATTATATCACTGTTTTCCAAGCTGCCAGTTGTCACCCATTAGCAGATTGTGAAATCAGTGTAGTGGATTGTGACCAGCAATTCTTAAAAAATGAAATAGAAAATATCAGTGCCTTATACCCAGTAAGAGTTAGTACTGTTTTGTGAAACTTAATGTCAGTTATAGTCCCATGTAACTTGTAAACACTGTGTAAAGT